CTGGAAGTACCACCAAGGAGGAGTACTAAGCACTGGTCCATACCTGCAGGGAGTGGATCAGGAAAGCCAAGGCTGCAACCAAGCTCCATCTGGCCTCACATATCAAGGATAACAAAAAGTCCTTTTTCAGATATGTAGCGAGTTGGAAAAAAACAAGGGTAACATTGGACCCCTGCTGAACCAAATGGAACAGCTGATAACCGACATCCAGGAAAAGGCCAATGTGCTTAATGGGTACTTGCTACTTTGCCTAGCAAGATGCTGGACAGCCAAGGTAAGAGCGTATTTATACCCAGCATCAGTGTTGATCTAGTAAAGGATCACCTTAAGAGGCCAGACACCTTCAAGTCAGCTGGTCCTGACAGATTACACCCTAGAATACTCAGGTGTCATAGCCCAACCATTGGCAAAACTATTTGAAAACTCGTGGTGAAGTACCTAAAGATTGGACAAAGGCCAATGTGGTACCTGTTTTCAAGAAAGGGCAGAAAGTAGATCCCAAGAATTACAGGCCAGTCAGGTTGACCTCAATCCCCGGTAAGATTCTGGAGAAAATTATCAAGGAGACCCTTCTGGATAAGCTGGCTAAGGGCAACGTCCTGAGGGAGAGCTAGCATGGGTTTGTTGTGGGTAGGTCTTGCCTGACCAATCTCATGTCTTTCCATGACCAAGTGACATAATACCTGGACAAAGGAGAAGAGATTGATGATATATATCTGGACTTTAAAAAAGCCTTTGATCTGGTGTCCCATGACAACCTCATGGAAAAATTGGCCGACTGTGGCCTTGGCTACACCACAGTCCAATGGCTGGGTAATTGGCTCCAAGGTTGGACCCAGAGAGTAGTGGTTGATGGTAGCAAATCATTATGGTGCTCCGTGACCAGTGGCATCCCCCAAGGCTCTGTCCTTGGACTAGTTCTCTTTAACATCTTTATCAATGATGTGGACATTGGTGTCAGAAGTGCACTGGCTAAGTTTGCCGATGACACTAAACTTTGGGGCATAGCATCCACACCTGAGGACGGGCTAGTGATCCAGGCTGAATTGGATAAACCTAGTAAGTGGGCAGATACAAACCTGATGACATTCAATACTGATAAATGTAAGGTACTCCACCTTGGGGTAAAAAAACCTGCGGCATACTTACAGGCTCAGCGGTGCTACGCTTGCTAACACCACAGCTGAAAGAGACTTGGGGGTCACGATTGACCACAAGATGAACATGAGCCACCAATGTGATGCCACAGCTGGTAAAGCAAACAGAACTCTGGCCTGCATCCATAGATGCTTCTCAAGTAAATCTCAGGATGTCATCTCCATGCTGTACTCGGCTTTGGTGAGGCCGCAGCTGGAGTACTGCATCCAATTCTGGGCTCCAGAATTCAAGAAGGATGTGGAGAAGCTTGAAAGAGTCCAGAGGAGAGCCACGCGCATGATCAGAGGGCAAGAGAATAGGCCTTATGAAGAGAGGCTGAGTGCCATGGGACTCTTCAGCCTGGAAAAGCTCAGGCTTAGCGGGGACCTCGTGGGTGCTTATAAGTGCATAGGGGGTGTACATCAGGACCTGGGAGAACATCTGTTTACCAGAGCATCCCAAGGAAAAACAAGGGCCAGTGGTCATAAACTACTCCAAGACTGTTTTAGGTTGGACATAAGAAAAAAATTCTTTACTGTCCAAGCCCCCAAGACCTGGAATAGACTCCCTCCAGAAGTGGTGCAAGCACCTACTCTGGCCTCATTCAAGAAACACTTGGATGCTTATTTTGCTGGGATCTTTTGCCCCTAGCTGACTTCCTGCCCCTGGGGCAGGGGGCTGAACCTGATGATCTTTGAGGTCGCTTCCAGCCCTCATGTCTATGAAATCTATGAACTGCTGTTGCCTACAGTGCAGCCAAAAACTGGGAGAGTGCAGGATAAATTTATTGCTACCTTAGCGCCTTCCCCCAATCCTTGGACTGTGAATTCTGTGCTGTTCCTTGTAGAGGCGTAATGCAGAGCTTTGCACATTGTTCTGAGCTTTACATGCAGAGCAAGTTTGTAACAAAACTTCTAGCTTCTATTTATGCTAAGTGTTTGTTATTTGCCATTTTTGGTTGTTACTGGGTTTTGATCCACTGGGTTGTGGATACATAAAAGGCATTACATATACACTGTCTTAGACTAATACCTGTTTTGACAGTGTGAACCAGTGATTCACATTTGGCATTTTATGAAGAAAACGTCCACCCTAGAATAAACTGTTAGTGTGTAGTTTAGAAATAGATTCTACATTCTGATACTGTGTAAATCACTTCAGATGCCTGCTGGTCCTAGCCACCTACTAAATCCCATTGATTTTAATGAGTCACTATGTAAGCTGATTTTAAGAGTACTTGTAACTATGTGGAAACAGTCTACTCTTAGTTTGTCCTTCAACTAAGGCTTGTTACAGAGTTACTCAGAGGACCTTGCCTCTAACAGCTGCCTTGGAATTGACAGGACTAATCAGTTTCAGGGCTACAAATAGCACAGCACTGACGTGACTGAGATGGCTTGAAGGGTTAATCGCCCACCTTCCATATTGGGCAATTATTTTGATTGCTGAAAGAACCCTGGTAAAGGCATTTTAGAAAGTAAAATCAATTGCGTAGGACATCACTGCAGAGAAAGATGACAAACATTTGTTACGCTTAGAAGATCTATGACTAGGTATATCAGTGTAACCCGGGTGGTACTCCAAGAGGTACCCCCTCTCCAATTGAAGGGATCAAAGCAGGTACACAAATGCTGTGGGAGGTGTAGGGACTCTCCTCCCCCTATAGAGCAGAGCCAGACTGCCATTGGGGACTTAACCATATACCTTTTAATGAGAGAACAGTACTGGGAATATAACCAGTATAAACCAGGGGGTATACGGGATGCTACAATGCCCCAAGGGGGCATGATTCAACAAAGGTTAGACACTTACATTCATAGACATATTCATCCAGTTGACAAAAGACAGGGTTAACCAAAATATAAAACACAAACAGCAGAACAAACAATACTGGTTGGTGAAATAAAAAAGGCATGAAATACAAAATGTCAAATAAGAAGGAATATAGGGCCTAGGTACCTGGAGGGGGAGAAAACAATGACCCCTTTCTACTGCAACAAGGATTTCTCCCTGTTACTTCATTCACCCCAGCTGGGACTTGAACTCAGACCACCCACATAATAGGCAGCACCTCTACCACACAGGCACCAGTGTTGGTGCTGTTCCAAACTGCAAGGGATCTTGAACTTCCAGGAGCCCCGGCCTCATCTTGAGCTCCCTGACCTCTGATTGGAGGAGCTCAAAGCAGAGCTGGGAACCTCTCAGGTCATTGCTCAGATCCTTGCTGGAGCTGGGGAGCCTCTCCTGCTGGCTGCAGCCTCTCGTAGGGATCCTGGAGCCCAGCGGGGAGCCTCTCCTGCCAGCCGCACGCCACACTGCTGAGGATCCAATCGCTGCCTGCAGCTCCCACTCCTTCAGGCTCTTCTGGGGCAACTGCTGCTGGCCCAGCTCTTTGCCAGCTCTTTGAGACTCTTTCCTTGTTGTCCCTCGCTGGTCTCTCCCCTGAGTCAGCTGCGCTGCCCCTTTTATCCCCCTTCAGGTGACCCAAGGGGCCAATCAGGGGACATGGAGGGTGACTCTCTGGGGCCTGATTGGTGAGGAAAGAGAATCCCAAGTCTTCCAATCATCTTTTACCCTTTCAAAACCCCTAGGCCAAATCATTACCAGATTGGTGAGGAAAGGAAATCCCAAGTCCTCCGACCATCTTTACCCTTTCAAAACCCCTGCGCTAAGTCACTACCAGCTAGCCCGTCACATCAGTGTTTGTCTGTCTTCTGATAGGTCACCTGGGATCTAGAGGACAAAGAGGCAATCCAGGATTTCCAGGGCCAAAAGGTGATCAAGGTTTTCCTGGGATTGGATTTCCAGGAAACCTTGGTCCAAAAGGTAAAATGCTCCTTTTAACTCTTTTTAAAATTTAAAAAATAAAACCAGTATGGAGACAGATAAGTAGAAAAATGTTTTGACATAGACAAGTTAGACAAATAAGTTTTTAATAGACCAATTACAATATACAGTTTATTAGTCTGCTTTTGAAAAGTCATGCATCAAAATTGACCATATGGAGTACATTTTAAAAGATACACATAAGGATCTAGCTGGATGAGTTGTTTAGTGAAATATCTGGAGAGACTTATACAAAATACTTTTACTTCAAACAGATCTTCTTACAATCACAGAGGGGAAAGACTTTATTTAGCGAGCTTGCTACATAGATCTAATCTTTCTGTGCAACATTTAGTGTCAGGGGATGATTGACACTTTCTACAGTGCCAGTTCTTTAGTTATAATCTATGCAGTTGTGTTCACACAGCAATTGTTGTATTACTAGAGATGTTACAAAGTGTTTTGTCTCAAGAGGAGTTGAATAGCAGGAAAAGGCCTCTTGTGCCTTCCCCAGACCAGGCTTACCCCATAGACTGAAAATGGAGAAGAGGAGTAGCTGCTATTTCTCCCAGCCTGCTCCCCAGAACAGTCCCAGGTCTGAGGAAGAGATCAGGGGATTGCCATGCTGCTCACTCGGTTTTCAGTGGCCTTGCCTTCTTGGTCTCCAGTATGAAGATCAGGCTGTGGGGGGTTGCTGTACTGCTCATTCCTCTTGGCTTGCCATGGCTAGGAGCTTGCTTCCCACCTACTTCTCTGACAAAGGAGCTTTGCCCTACTGCTTCAGCAGCCACTGCTCTCCGTGCTTTCCCTGGAATGGGATCATCTGACAGTGGAAAGGCATGAAGAGCAGGGGAGAGGAGGCAGTTTCAGACTGAATACTTACACTGCTTCCTCTCCTGGAAACATTTTTTTGCAGTGGAAAATTTCCACCGCTAGAAATGAATGCGTGTTCATGGCTGCAGTCATTCAACAGAAGACAGTGATGTTTTCACCTGCTATATGGTTTGCTTTACAGGAAGTAAAGGGCTTCCAGGGCCAAAGGGATCACCAGGTTGCTTAAAAAATGGAGAAGCAGGCTTACCTGGAAGCTCAGGATTTCCAGGAGAAAAGGTTTGATTAAAAAAGTAGCATGCATTTTAATCAGGAGTGCCTGTTTAAATCAGTGGTCTAAGGATTTGGCTTCTCACTCACTGGTCGATATCCTTCCCCCCTCCCCTTTTGCATGCATGTGCACATGCATAAACACAGATTATGGAAATTAGTTGCTTATAGAGGCAAGCTGTGAATGCTGAAAACTGTTGTGGGAGAGGAGCAGGGGGTGGAAAATTCTGGATATGCCCAGTTTATTCTCTCCATCAGCATCCACTCTGTGACATTGTGTGAGACTGGACACTGGGCTAGATGGAGCTATGGTACCCAACCTTTTTGCTCTGTGGGCCGGATGACTTGTGCAGGGTGGATCTGTAGGCCCAATCTTGCATACACGGAACTGTGGTCCAGTTGGTTATGTGCTGGTCAGGCCCCACCCCTCCATGCCAGATGGTGGCCATGGTCATGGTCCCACAAGGGTCAGGCCCTGCCACTCACCCCCAACCCAGTACACACAGGATCCAGCCTTGCTACCTGTCCCAACCACATGCATACAGAATCAGGCCCCACAGCCCACATCAGGCCCCACAGCCCACACACTGGATCAGGCTCTGCTGCCCAGACTCCATCTCTATGTGCCCCAGATCGAACCAAGCCACCCCAAATACACAGGATTAGGCCCCATTGCTTGCCCCCAGCCCCATGTGTGTCTGATGGGGCCCCGTTGCCCTGTACTTGCAGGCAGGATACCATGTGCAAGGTAATGTCAACTGGCCCATGTAGCTTGAAAATTTGGTAGAGGAGGAGTGGTGGCAGTATTAATTGCCACCACTGCCCCCACCAAATTCCCAGACCCTTGGGGAGCCCTGTGGACTGGACCATACTGCTTTGTGGGCTAGATCTGACCCCTGGGCCAGGGGCTGAACACCTCTGGTTGAGGCTAGTAAATAGCAGTTCTTATATTCAAGCCACAACATTTCAGTCCAAATCTCAATTTCCAGTACCCCAAATTTCAGGACAGTTCAGGGACCTGCTGTCTGGAGGGAACATGAGGACTTTGAGCCAGATGCAACCACAGTTCTTGAAACCATCAGTATTAAGAAGCATCACTTAAACACTGTGGTTATAGGCTAGGAGAATTTAAACACAAGGACAAATGCCCAATTGTGTTAAAGCATCAAAGTAGGTCAGTGCAAGTGGGAGTAACCATCAATGCTGATTGGTGTGAATTCCAGTTCCTAAGGACACACACACATTTTGAGCTTGAGTGGTTGCAGCATATTCAAGGATCAAAACTGATTATAAACAAAACATTTGAATATTGGGAAACAGTACCCTTTCTTTACTCACTTTTCTATGTTTACTCATTTGTTTTCCTAAAAAGACACTTAAACTGAATATAAAAGATTAAATGTAAATTAATGTAAAACACAAAATGGCCAGTTTTGGAAAAAATCAGTGAGTTGCCATCAGCCACAGTGCAGTAAGATTAACCTCAGCTTGAAGATGCTTTTGTAGTCTAAGTCTACAATCAATATTTGCATAGAAACTAAGTTATTGCAGGCAGAGTTTATGATTGAATTTACCTGCTAGTACTTGAAAGCCAATCTAATGGTAACAGGGCTTTTTCATTGGGGAATTAATCCTGAACATCAGAGATATTCAACCCCTTTCATGGAATTTTATTTTAAAGAAAAATTTAAGTATTTCTAAAGCAGAATATCTGAGTGCTGACCCAGGAACTGAACAAACCTTTCATTTCCTTGTAGTGGCAAAGCTAGCAGTAGTCAACTAAATTACTTGATTTTCTGAATCATCATTTAAATATATATTTAATCTTAAGTATGACTGCTTGGTAATTTGAAGTAAGCATAGTGCCCAAATATATTTCAAGCAGCTTTCAGGTACTTGAACTGTCCAAAGTGTTTTGCAGGTACAGGAAGGGTTTAAAAGCTTCATAGTCTGCACAAGCCTTTGTGGCAAGGAGAGGTTTTCATTGTTAATGATGATTTCTCTAGCTGACCTGAAGAAGTCCTACACAGTATTATTTTATCAGAATAATGTTTATGGTGTAGGGTCTCCAGAACAAGAGTTCTAAAGGGGAATATATGGGATAGTGAATTTGCAGTACTCTGATGCTAAATGTGAAAGAACCTCTGGGAGTGAAGATGATAACTCCATAGAAGTTAACTGTCCACAGGATGGAAAAAGCAATATTTTCAAATGTAAGTATACTGGATATAATGCATTTATATCTTCTGTATGTTTTAGGGAGACCCAGGACCAAGTATTCCCGGAGAGCCAGGTAGATTAGGTGCACCAGGAACAAATGGCCTTCCAGGAGCAAAAGGTGAAAATGGACTTCTAGGATTTCCAGGTGTACCAGGACATCCAGGACGTGAAGGCATTGATGGCCTCCCAGGTGCTATGATAAACCAAACCCAAGAAAGCCATTCTATCCAGATTTTGAGTGAGGCCCTAGAAAAAGAAAACATGGAGAAAAAGTACCATTACATACAAAACTCAAAATGTGCTTGAAGTCATAATAAAAATTAATCATCTCTTTTAGGAGAACCTGGCTTTCCTGGAGCTCCTGGAGATGATGGCCCCCCAGGGAAGCCAGGTGATTGTCATAATGGTTCACCAGGTCCCCCAGGTCGACAGGGAGCACCAGGCCGACAAGGTAAGAACACAAAAAATACCAGAAACATAAACCCAGTGTACAACTGATGGAGTGGGTTTGGGTTTTATTTTTACTCCATGATGTTTTGTGTTATAGCTATATGATGTGGCTCTGTAGAAAATGTTAGGTGAATTAGAGGTGCCAGTCCAGACATTTTCAGTTACAAGGCAGATGTGTGCATGGTGTACCATTGGGCTACATGTGCAGCAAAAGCCCAGATCGCATTGTTGAGGCGTAACATGAGCACACTGAAAGAGCACAGGGAAGAGCAGACCAACTCCAATTCCAGAGAAAGGGTCAGAGGAAATTGTGTAGAAAGGAAATGTACTTGACCTGGTCCCTCTCCCCCGCACATGTGATAGAGTTCACCTCTTTGTGGCAGAAGGACATATGCACAGAAAAGAAGTCTTAGCCACTGAGCAGAATGCTCCTACAAAACCAGGGCTTACTTTAAGCAAAAGATTTACTGTTGCTAGAGGCAAAACCTCTTCAGTGGTTTTCTGCCATAGAGGTGGCTTTGTACATAACACCTTATCATGTCATGATGCCAGTGGTCTTGGCTGGGGGCCAGTAGCAGTCCAGAATGCTTCAATTACATGGAAATCAGATCCATGAAAGCTATTCTATGCAACACTTACACCTACATGGAATGTAGAACACTTCCCTTCCTAGAAGCAAGTCTGTGGTTAAATCATTACCACTGATGTGCCCTTGCCTTAAGGGTGACCTCACAGGATTTGTCAACTCTGTCTTTCTCTAGCAGAGGCAGAATTCCCAAAGAATTAAAGTAGAGTTTCATACTCATGACTGCAGGGTCTAGTTGAGCGTGAATTGTCTCCCCTCCCCAGATTATATATTGACTATATGCCATCTACTTGTTTTAGGAGACAGAGGTATACAAGGAGCAAAAGGAGATCGAGGTATTTCTGGTATGAGTTACCCAGGATTCCCTGGAGAACCCGGGTTCCCTGGATTACCAGGTCCTAAAGGAGCTGTGGGATCACCTGGTCTCAAGGGTTTAACTGGAAGACCTGGTAATCCAGGGACAGTAGGTAAGGAATTTAAAGATTCATAGTTTGGACATTTTAATGATATAACCCTCTGTTATCATGTGTCCGTCATTATTTTTTGTCTGTATAGAAACAGATTTATTTTTTCCCAGTACAACAAGAGCTAGCTTTTAGATTCAGACAGTGATTATGTGGAGAGCAAAACAATGTGGAGAGACATCCCTAGGCCAGTCACAATATTGGCCTGCCCACCTGTCTAGGGCAGTCCACCCACCTACCTCTGCTGCCATGCCTTTTTTGTAACTAAATAGTTGTTTGTATCCAGGAGGCTGCCCATTTGATGCCGTGATGCCAAGGGCATAACACATGGCTCCATACTGCCCACATGGCTCCATACCATTCCTACACCATGTCCCATGCCTCGCAGATGGCATCCATAAACACTACTTTTTCCCCAGCCCCTTAACTGGGCCACACTCAGCCTATGACCCAAATTTGGCATCGTGTGTCCATAGAAATGCTTTAGCCATATGCCTTCACTGGGGCCTTGTCATGGAGCGGGTCTCCTGGGATGGTCATGGTGCCCCTGGCGGCTCCGCAACTGTGCGGGCTCTGCCCCGAGGGCACCCTCTTATCTGGCCTGCCATGTCTTTGTTGGAAAAATAACTCAGGGGGCTGCCCACAGGCCTTCACTTAGTCCCAATCTGCTAAACCTTACTTGAGCTCCTGATCTATGGGCCCTTTGCCAGGCCTCTCTTCAACCTGGTGCTGCACAGAGCACCTCAGGCCTTATAGGCCAGCTGCATGGCTTCAACCTTCCCTTTACCATGCCCCATACCTCACGGGTATTACACTGTTGTTATGCTCTCTGTTGAGGCCTCGGCCTACTAAGCCCCTGCCCCTTTGATAATAACTAGGCTTTCTAGCCTAGACCCACTGTGTCAGGCCCAGTTTTGAGGAACTAGGCTACAATCTCCTCTTATCACCAGGCCCTTGGCCCTTGTCTACGGCACCCCTCTGGCTCTGGGCTCTCCAGCCCTTGCAGCTTGCGCCCCTCTGGCACTGGGGCACTACACAATAGTGTGTCCCAATGAAGCCTCCTCCTCCCCTATAAGCCTCATCCCAGTCCACCGATTCAAACAATAACACAAATCTAAGCCCCTGGGCTATAACATAAAATTAACAATAAAGGCAACACTCTGCCCTTTTAAAAGGGCAAACTCTCACCCTTAGAATACCATACCCTACCCTCAGCTCTGGGCACCTTGTGAGCCCCTAGAGTCTTACTGCATTTGGAGATAGTGAAACAGGCACCCAGATGCATCGGGCAGCTCTGTTTTGCAGGAGCTCCTTCTCCTGGCAGTTGCCAAAGAGAGAGTGAGTCCAGCCAGCCCCAACCCTGAGATTATAAGTTCCCTGGGCTCTGAATTCCTTCCAGTCAGCTGACTGCCTGCAGATGCTGGCTCATTACCTAGTTAGCCTGTTACTCAGGCAACCTGCAGCTGTGGAGCTGTGTAGCCTGCCTGGTTCCTTTGCTAGACTGCTTCTGCCCTTAAAGGTGCCAGCAAACCTTGGTGCCCTGTGACAGGCCTCAACTCTGCCCTCACAGGGGCCTCAACTCCCACATGCAGTCTAGGCTCCTTGCCTCTCATTAGGCTTCTAGCCCCTCACACTCTGTCCCCTCACTGGGGCCACTATTTTGCCTCCTCACTGGGGCTCCAGGGCCTTACACCCCTTGGGCCTCAAGCATCTGTTGATGTGCCTGGACTCCTAAATTGGTCTATTCAGGTGTCAGGTGTTGACTAATGTACCTGGGCCTCACTCTCCTTCAGGCCTTCTACTAGGCCCCACTCATTTAGACCTTGGGTCTCAGGGCCTTCTGTCCCCTGCATTGTTGCCCAAGCCTCACTCTCAGATACTTGGTCCCAGGTCCTCCTGTGCTCCATGTTGCTGCCCAAGCTTCTTTCTCTCAGGCTTTGAGCCTTGAACCCTCCTGGTCTCCAGGTTGTTGCCCAAGCCTGTTGCTTTTCTTTCAGGATGTGCTCCCATAGCCTTTCCCCTCCACTGGGTCACCCACAAGGCAGTGGGGGCTGAGGCTTTCCAGTGTTCCATACTTGTCTTTCACTAGGGAGGCACTAGTGTGGCATTTCCTGGGGACTTCCCCACCACAGGCAGCCCCACCACACCATCCAGCCCCAGCAGGGTGTAGTCTTAGGTCATCCCCAGGACCACTGCAGGCCTACCTGCCCTGATCTTACTTCCTCTCACTGGCCTTCTGGATGTTCTCCCTGGGCTGCTCCCTCCTAGGCACTTTATTGCAATTTCCATCTCGTAATCTGCTTCTCAGTCACTGGCCTCATCTTTCTCAAGCCCCTCATAGGATATCTCCCCTCAGGAGTCAGGTCTTCTGCCTCCATCGTTACCACTTGCTGGCTGGCTGACTGCCTATCCTTTCTTTGATAGTGATGTCCCCCCACATCAAAGGGACCTCCAGCCTCTTTTAGGCTCTGGCCCCACCTCCAGGCCATTCAGGGTGCTAGTAGCTCTCCACAGCCCTGGCCTGTCCCTCATGGTGGGCTTACTTGCCCCTTGGCCTTTTGGCCCTGGCCCCTTTGCTTTGACCAGTCAAGATTCCGTGGCATCAGTGTAGCAGCAGTTAATTCCCTACTCAGAAGGGGTCCCCTCCGGGCCCTCCCATAAAGCCATAATTTCTTACTGGGCTGGCATGGTGCCCAGAGATCTTATACAAGGCAGCCCTTTTCTCCACTGGGCTCATCTGAGAGCTTCCTACCTTCCTGGGACACTCTCCTGCCAGAACTTGATGGTAATTGTTGGTAGAATATTATCCTGAAGGAGGAAGAAGATTCTACCATCAGGACCACTCTCTTGCAAGCAACAGTTTGCTATGGCCCCTGGCAAGACCCTCTAGGGCCTATAATGGGGGCTTCTCTGCCCCTACACCCCCACCACAGGCCATTGTAGTCTGTATACCAACTTCTGCTGTTAGGGCTTCACAGTGTGTGTGCGTGGACATTTAAGTATCCAAAAGAAAAAAGAAAGTAAACCCTGTTGTCCCGTCCTGGGCTCATGCTCCTGGTTATTGTCTGATTCCTCCAACTCCTCTTTCACATAGTCCATGTGGTCACTTACCAGGTTTACTACCAGTCTCCAAGTCCACCAGGGATTAGCTCTGTGCCTGCAGCTTTCCCCCTCTTCTCTTCTCTCTCTTTTTGTCCCTCCATATTCTGAGTAACTTCCTTTTTGAGGAACTTCCAAGAGGAAGGAGCTGCTGTTTACATTCCCTTGTGTCTTGAGATATGTATCCCTGTAGCTGTTAAAGTATTTGTACCCAGTGGTTTTCAGATTTGTGCAGAGAAAGAAGTCAAGAGTGCACTGTCTCTTATTTACAACAAAAATTTATTTCCTTCACTTTTCAATGAACTCTAGATAACATATTTATGTAAAATAACAACCTATACAATTAATTATGTATATGTAATGTGGGATGTCTATAAATAATCTTGTTAAATGCAGTTTATTAAAAGCTGCTGTAATTCTCACATGAGGAGTCTTTGGCAATAGTACACGTGTAGGGTCTACTCACTTTATTGAAGCTGATGAATATGGTAAGTAAATGAAAAACTTATTCAAGTAAATTTTAAAAGAATTAAGTAAGTAGCCATGTAATTCACAAGCACACACACTTATTTTTTCAGAACAAATTTTATTCTTTGAAACCTTCTGTTTTACTGGTCCGGCACTATTTCCTACTGCTCCATTTCTGCAGGTCAAACAGGAGAACCAGGTGTCATGGGTGATTTAGGAATTCATGGACCTCCTGGCATCTTTGGAAATCCAGGTACCCCAGGAAACAGAGGTAAGTGGCTTTATTTATTACTTAGGAACATATTAATCACCACACTTGGGAGTTGGCAGCCTGTGTCCCATGGGTTAAATTTCTGTCCTGCCACATGATCTCATCTGGTGTAGAAAACTGGGAAATCAGCAGCAGTTTGGTGGCAGGAGATGTTGGCAGCTGGCTATTGGCATTCAGTTGACAGGGCGTGTGGCCTCTGGGTCGCAGCAAATCACTGACAAGGGGAGCAGTATCTAGTGCCTTTTGTAGACAAAATGAGGGGCATGTGTGCACAACACTTTAAAGCGGGTTAAATGCTTTTGCACTGCTTTAATGGTGTCAGTGTTTGCACACATCAGCGGCGTATTGTGCAGTAATTCTGGCTGCTGTAGCAAATTCAGCAGCATAATGCACCTTAAATAACTCGGGGTGCAGCAAACTAAAACTTCTCAGAGGAGTTTTAGTTTGCTGCTCTACGGCCACAGAGCAAAGCACTAGGCTTCGTGCAGCTCAGTGGCTCTGAAGGAAGCTTGTGCAGGCAGCCTGGCAGCAGCCCAGGAAGGCAGGCTCTGCCCAAGAAAAGCAGCAAGCCTGATATATTTTTTTTTTCTTCCCCCTGGAGCCTGCCTGCCTGCCTAAGCTATGCAGGGGGCCCGGTGCTTCCTTCTACAGCTGCGGTGGCCCCTGGGACCACTCGAGCCAGGAGTCTGCAGGCAGTTGCTGCCTGTGGGGGGGCCACCACTGCTGCGGAGGGAAGCACCAGCCCCCTCCCCCTGTCCCGCAACCCAGGGACCGCTCCGCTCACTGACAGCTCACCCTCCCCTCCCCACCACCGGAGAGGCAAGTAAGTTCGGGTGTGTGCACGACATGAGGATTTAAAGGGCCCTAAATTGAAGTGGTGTTTTTAAAAACTCACCACTTCAATTTAGGGCCCCCATTTAATCTACACATGCCCTACGTTGGCAACATAGTGGCAGCAGGGGGAGTGACAGTGTCTGGATTGTAAGTAGCATCCTGCCTTAAGAGTGAGCTGCACTAATTTAGCCTACCGCTCCAGAAAGGCTGCTAACCCCTGGCTACACTGGATTCATTTCTTGATCTATCTAAACCTGAATGATCTACTTGGGTACTGTATCTTGTTAGTGATATTGGCCCATATCAGATCCTTCAGAGCATGGTACATGATAACATAAATTAGGTAAATGAATAATTTTTCCCTCTCAAAGGTCTAATCCTAAGACCTTAGTAGTTAGAGATTAGTAGAGATGTAAAACATGACTTTTTAATTCTTTCCAGTATCTTTTCTGTTAGGAATAACTGTTATAGTTATGATATTTTTGTTGTATATGTAAATGCCCAATACCTCTTTTAATTTGCCCAATTTTTAGCCTCAATGAATTCCATAATTAATACGCTAGGAGAAAAAGGATTTCTTTTTATCAGTCTTGAATTTGCCACCTTTTTCATTGTATTGACTGTTCCCTTATTTTTTGTGATATGAAGCAAAGAAGATACTGATCTACCTTCTATCTACCATTTATTGTTTTATGATATTTTATATGCCTGTCCCCACTAACTCAGCATCTTTTTTAAAGTAAAAAACCCCACTCATTTCCATAGTTCTATAGTTTTTAGGGTCGGAAGGGTCCTGAACAGATTATCAAGTCTGAGCCCCTGCCCTGGGCAGGAACGAGTGCTGGGATCACAATACCCCAAGCCAGATATCTATCCAACCTCCTCTTGAAGATTCCCAAGATAGGGGAGAGCACCACCTCCCTTGGGAGCCCATTCAAGGGCCTAGCAGCCCTAACTGTAAATTAATGCTTCCTGATATCAAGGCTGAACCTACTCTCAATCAATTTGTGGCTGTTATTCCTTGTTATCCCAGGTGGTGCCCAAGGGAACAAAGCCTCACCTATTTTCTGCTGGTCCCCCCTGGTGAGTTATAGATAGCCACCAAAACCCCTTTCATTCTTCTCTTGCGGAGGCTGAATAGATTCAGGCCCTTTAGTCTGTCTTTGTAGGGCCTGGCCTGCTGCCCCTTGACCATGCAAGTGGCCCTCCTCTGGACCCTTTCAAGGTTAGCCACATCCCTCTTGAAGTGTGGTGCCCAGTCTCTCTCCATATGATAATTTTTTTATTTGTACAACTTTTGGTTTATTTTTTTTGTGAGCATGCTAAACTCATCCCAGATCATTAAGCAGTTCATCAGTTAAGTAATAATGCAACAGCATAATTTGATTATCCAGTCACTTGAAAATACAACTCCTGTTAAGGTCAATGGAGTCTTGATGAAATGATCAGGCCTCTCATATGCTAACTGAAGGGAAAGAAGACACTCATTTCACTTTCTACTGGCAATATCTACATGAGACACTGACTGTGCAGTTGTTACTATGCAGTCATTTTGTACTTGTATAAACAAGTATTAAATGATTGCACAGTAACCGGAGTTACTGCACAGTAGCGCCGAGAAAGGGCTTTTTTTTGATGACTGTGCAGTAGCCCAAGACTAGTGCACAGCAGCACTGCGTCATTCTTTCTGCTATGCGATGCTACTGTGCAGTAGTCACAGGCTACTGCGCAGTCACTGTCTCTTGTAGAAGCTGGTTCTACAGCTGTGCTAGTATTTCTATTGACAGTCATCCTTGAAAGCACTAGTTCATCCTTGCCCCTTTGCAAGTTATTTGCTTGTCCAGTTTCTTCAGCATGTTCCATTATGTGTCCTGACAGGTTCTCATGGTCTTCCAGGACCAAAAGGAGCAAAAGGGTCTTTGGGGGAAAAAGGCAAAAAAGGTGATAAAGGATTCCTTGGCCCAGTGTTGAGTAGAATAAGTGTTGGGGATAAAGGAGAACCAGGATCAAAAGGTACAGTTATTTTTAGTTGAATTGGAAAACAATTATGAATAAATCATTCGTGATACAATATCAGGTTCTAACTCATGAAAAGAGGCTACTGTAATATTCAGATTGTTCTGCACCATTTTAATACATGTGTGCTAAGTAGCGCACATAGCTGTTTATGTTTTTATAGAGTATGTTAAAAATACTGATGTTAATTTTAAATTCCTTATTATAATACACATTCCTAAATTTGTCATGTCAGTTATATCAGTAGTGGCATGAAGTTTAGGCATAGGCCATATTTATGCATACATTCACATATGTTTAATATTTATCCATTGGTATTAATTAGCAAAAGGATTGAGCATATTCACAAATACCTGATTTGTAGAGATTCCCTGGTATTTGCTAGGTGAGCTATCATACAAATACCTGCACACAAGTTGCACATACTTCTTTTCTTACAAATCTGGCCTTTTTGTTATAGGTTTTTCCTATGGACATTTTCAGGTTCTCTCCTTTTTTTAAAAATGTTGGAATCAGTAGCATAGAGCTTCTATGTGTTGGAATTCATTTGTTTGCAAGGGCATAATTCCAAATTACTCTATGCAGGCTCCTTTTCAACGTCACTGCTGCTTCTCAGAGAGAATTTTGCTAATATTATAAGATTCTGTTTGAACTTTATTTAATGCAATTCCTGTTATAGGATCTCCAGGAAGAGCAGGTCTAAGAGGAATAAGAGGATCAGAAGGTGTACAAGGATCAGCAGGTGACCCTGGGACACAGGGAATACCTGCTCCACCAGGTATACAGCCTCTGCTAGGAAATTAAAGCTTCAGTTTCTATAGCAGTATATTTTACAACGTTACATGTAAGATACGCAGTAGGAGCCAGAACCACATAATGCATTAATCTTACACATTTTATTACCTCACCTATACTCTTTCTTATATTCTAACTGTACTGAAACTATTCTAGTACTCCAGAACTCTGACAACTTCAAACAGCTACCATTTGGGGAAAAAAAATCTGCCACCAAAATGTTTTCTTTTCTTCTCCCAAATGTAAGATTCTTATGGTAAAACAGGTTATCAGTGGTATGACAGACCACACAAAGCAATATTAAGTCCAAACAATAATTTGTTTTAAGTCTAAAATATCTGCACCATCTGAAATAAAAACTCGTGCCTTCTATTAATGGAGGAAAATTGGAATCCAGTTTTAAAAAGCAAGGGTGAGAAACTTTGACAATATAATAGAGTATGACTGACACAAATGTATTTTAGACATTTCTTATATTTTAATTCTTCTTTCCATCTAAAATGCTATGTGTTTGGATTATAGTACAAAGGCTGCCTGGATTTATAGGAAAACTAGCCTGAAAAAGAACAACATAAAAAGCATAAAACCTACCAAAAACATTTGCCATATTTTTTTTCTGTGCATGATGGTATATTGCAAAAGATGTACTGGCCCTTGATTAGAATACTATACATATTAATTAAGTCAGTCATGTCTTTGTCACTAGGAATATATCATTCTTTTCAATTCATGCTGATAAAATACTTATACCACACTGCATGATCATGAATACTTGTTCTCCATATCTGTGAGGTATGAAGAAGTTATTCTTTCCAAAAAACATGGTATTTGGTTACAGAGTTAAAAATAAGTATGGACTTCTCTGAAAAACCATATGTATCAGGATTTCAGTAATCCATGTTAGATATTCTCATTGGGTGCATCTACATATGCACTTTACTGTGGAGCTGACTAATTATCTCTGCAGTAAAGCATCACTGTCTACACATGTGCTGGTATTAGTGTGCAGTAAATTAATTAACTCTGCTGTAGGATAGCACTGCCAAGGACAGTACTATCTTACAGCAGAGTAATTACCCATGCTGAAATGTATGTGTAGATGGGGATAGGGGCTGCCTGGCACATAGCCCTGCACTTTAGCACCCTTATGCCCCAGCCACGCCCTCCATCGCCCAACACTGCCACCCAGAGCCCAGGGCTGAACTCCCCTCTGCCAACCCCTAGGCTGCTCCGCCCCAGCACAAACTGCTGAAGTCCTGGGCGCATGTGCTAATGTTGCACCTGGAAGCTGCTGACTCTGGCATAAACTGTGCAGGAGTTTATTATATCACCTTAATGGCATGTACACCCACTGATGCCCAAACTAGGCACTAGAAAGAGGGTAATACCAGCAGAATGGGAAAAAAGGTAATAGCAAGAAAAATTACCAGTTCTCCAGCTCTGCACCTCTCTTCAACTTCTCATGTGAAACAGAAGCAAACCCAAGCCATTTTCATGAATAATGGGATCAGCCTATGTATACTTCACCACATGCATAGACTTTAGGCTGTGGCAAAGTGGGGTCCCTGACTAGCCACAGAGCTAGTTTCCTATCTGCTTCTGGGCACACTGCCCACCTGTCTTTCCTGCCATGTCTTGTTGTAATTAAGTTGTTAATTAAGGCAGGAGGCTGCCCATTTTACACCCCGATATTGAGGGGGGCTATCCATGGCTCTGTTCCATCCCTACACTGCGGCCCAAGCCTGGCAGATGGCATCTCGGGCAGTTGGCTCAACTGTCCCCTTTGCCCATTAGCTGTGGCCCCAATCATGGGACCTTTGGCTTCTGTATAAGCCCTGGCCCCATCTCAGGTCAGTCGGGACCCTGAGCTTCTTTGCTCATTATGGGTATCTCTCATGGTGGATCCCTGGCCCTTTTGACCCTTCTGGTCCTGGCCCCAGCATTGATCAGTTGAGTCCCTCAGTTCGGTTTATGCCTCCTGCCTGCACTTAGGGATCAGGGTCCCCCATTCCTGGCTCAGGTGCTTCTAGAAGCATGCCTGGCCCTGTGGGGGTCACTTCCCCAGCAGGCTCAGGCACTTCCTGAAGCTTACCTGGCCTACCCTGCTCTGATGGTAAATGCCCCACCCAAAGGTGAGGGCTGGGGTTAAGGCACCCCTACCTGCCTTTCACCAGGGTGATAACCAGCCTGGCATTTCCTGGGGGCTCCCACCCCACTGAGCGCCCCACCAGGCCACCCACTCCCAGCAGGGTGCAGTTTTAGGCCATGCCCAGGACCAGGAGCCTCCAAACCATCCCCTACAGCTCCTGCCCTTACCTCCAGGATGTTGCATGTAGCCTTGCAGCCAGGCCATGTTATTGCCTTGGCCTGCCAGCAGTGAACTGCCCTGTTTATATAGGCAGCCAGGGATCTAAAATGGCTGCCACAATCAATCACTTGCTGGCTGCTTGGCTCAGCCCTTAAAGTGGCAGGCACCAACAATGCCCTGCCACATAGGCATATGGATATCAAATTTACATTTAAGTTAGATAAAAGCATTGCCAAGCTGGCACATATGTAAATTGGCACAAGGTCAGGCCAAAAAAAAATTGCTTGAAAAATCTTCCCAAGCTACCCAAAAAAACCCTTAAACATTCTTTAACTGTGCTGTGAAGTACTTAGTGGGCACATCTACACTAGAAGCTATGGCGATGTAGCATCAGCGGGCATGAACCATGATGCTGTTACTACTGCACATTAGGGTCAGAAATGACCTGTGCGGCCCTAGGACTGCAGAATACTGGCAGTTACTGTGCAGTCATTTAGTACTTGCCTTAGCACTTAGTAACAACTGTGCAGTCAGGCACATGTGTAGACATGCCTGCTGATTAAGTGATGCTCAGACCAACTCACCAGAATTTATAGTGAAGACAATCTTGTTCATTAACCACAAAGTTTCCAGTGAATTGGGGTTGGAAAGAAGAATTAACAATGACTGCAAGCCTTACCCTCTTGAGGTTGAAAAGTAGGATGGTTCTCTTTGCCAAGGCGTTCCAGTAACAGCATTGATAATGATAATGACAAAATGTGCTATGGGCTAGGGAAGGGGAAGAAATTATCTTAGACTATTAAAATGTATACATTTCAGGGAGATTCCAGCAATAACTGTTTGGATATTGTTCATGTTCATGGGACATGTACTGAGTGGCCAGAGTTTGAAGGAAATATGTTGAAACTGTTGCCATCTTGTCATTTTACAGGTTCTAAAGGATTACCTGGTCTGCCAGGATTTCATGGAAAACAAGGGTTACCGGGAGCTCCAGGAGAGAGAGGGGATATTGGCATGCCAGGTAATTCTCCTTGAAACGGTGTTACAAGCTCATATATTATTAGAGAGGTACTTGCACATGTCTGTACAGTTACTGTAGGCATAATTCTGTAACGCTGCTCAGACAAGTAACTGTTATTCCCTCAACTACCCATTGACTTTTCTGTAGTAAGAGTTGCAGGATTTTGCTCAACACCTATAATTGCAGAACATGGTCATGATTCAGTTAATGCTACAGATGTGGACAGCATGTCCTTTGGTAATATGTTTACTGAATAATAATTTAACTCTCATATTTTTGCTGAATAAAACATTCTCTCTCACACACTTCTAATTAACTTTAATATGGAACTAATAGATACCATTATTTCTTTGTCATCATATTAAAATGAGATCGATCAACTTGAAACAAAATTAAAATCTGATTAAATAACAAAACTTTGAAAATGTATTGTGCATTCATTTACTACTTTTAGCTCTGATAGATGTACAGAGCCCATGTTAAAAATCACTACCACAGGAGAAATAGAAACCAGCTAAGATGAAGCAATTGCTTTTTTTTCCTATTAACTCATGGGTTTTTTTGAGGAAGAAGGAAAGCATATGTCTCTGCATGTGTGGGAGCCACCAGACAAAATCCACGGCTATCCCAGACAAGAGGTGCCAGAAACAGCCAGATTGTACATGTTCCCTGTCCCAGGCTCCAGTTTATAGAAAATGCAAGGCTAAAATTGGGCTGTTCTACTACTACAATATCTGACACCAGGACTCTTACCTGGATGTACAGATGTGCTTATAAGTCTGTCTGTCTGTTTCTCTCCCTCTCTCTCTAATATCTGTTCCCAAGTCACTTTCTTAAGTCCAACAGAACTCAAATAGGGAAAATAAAACTATCTGAGGAAGAGCCCAGATTCAGCAAAAGAGTCCTGGTGACTTGGCATATGTGGAAAAGGAGACCAGTTAGAGAACTAGCACTCAGGTTTCTGTGAACTGCAGCTAGAGGATCTAGGGGTAACACTAATGTATAGATGTGTACATGTAACATGCACACAATATGTCATGTATAATTATAACGAATAATTTATTCCATGCAGAATACAGTGATCAACCGGAGAAAAAAAATGTGAATATGGCTAGAAAAATGAACTTGAACACTCAGATTTAGCCCACCCCATGTACTTAAGCCTATACATATTGTTATATGTTACTTGCCAAATTCTACAGTCACTTTACCACTTTAGATCAAATTCCTAAAAACTGTTTTGTATTACCTGACCTCTAAAGTCTCAGTTTCTAATTAGCTCAGTATCTAATTATTTTCTTGAATTAACTAGAAAGTCAGATGATACAGTTTAGCCATGTGACTACCTGACAGTAGTTGCATATTGTAGTGATATGCAGTGTGATGTAGTATTGTACATACTACAATAGTGACTGCTATTACTTGTGCAACTGCAATAAAGTGTGGGCACTAAGTAGCACCCATAAAAGTAAAGGCCATTTAAAAAATATTGATGATCTTATCAACCTGCATCACATAATAGACACAAACTTCATAGCAAAATGCTGGAGAAATGCCAGGATCTAGGAAATTTTCATTTTGGATCATCTCAAATTGAACGGTTTCATGTTTGTGATGACAGATTGATGCAAGATTTATGCCAGGTATATTGCCCTTATACTTGTATTCTTAATGTGTTAGGTAAATGTCTTGAGTTGCTGACATTAAAGACAGACACATGCTTAGGTAAACTGAGATTGCAGCTAGTAAATGTAATAAGCCTACTGTAGACTGTAACCTATGCTGTCTTAAATTTGCTGTTTTCCTTTTTTTACCTGTGACCTTCTCTTTGACAGAACAAATTATTTTCTTATAATAAATTGTTATCTTTAATAAACTGTTAATTATTACACATGTAGTCCATCAAGCAAGAAATACTTAGTATGATGTATAAATGGGACACATTCAAACATGATAGTGATATTTGCGTTAAACCAGGTTCAAAGGGAGAGAGTGGATCTCCAGGTTCTCCTGGACCAAAAGGTTTCATAGGCCTGCCAGGCATTGATGGTGTTCTTGGTGACAAAGGAGAACCAAGTTATCCTGAATTTGGGCCTCCAGGAAGACCAGGACCCAAGGTACAGTCTGAAGATGGTGAATGAAATAGTATACTATAAAGTGCAAACAGGGGCTGAAATAGTACAGAAAAAAATCCATATACAAACACCAGAGAAATAAGATCTATTTAAAGTTGATCTTCACTACATCAAGCAGACCCAGGAGCATAGTTGGGCTGGCTGAGCAGTCAGGGGAGCTGTGTTTAGGTTGCAGTCTCTCCAGAAGATTGGGTTTAAAGTCAGCTTCTGAACAGAAAGTACCTTTTCTCTGCATGGGGATTGGGCCAGGTGACTTTTGCAGTCTCTTCCAATTCTATGATTCTGTTTTTGACAAGCCAGTAATGACACAAAATAACTTTGTCAGGTATCCAGGTTGTGCTTTTTAATATAAAATAAGTTTATGCTTTTTAAACAGTGTAACTAATCAGAAAAGTACTTTAATTCCATGCCACATGTTCAGGTTAATGAGCATTTGAAAACTGCTTCTACAAGTACAAATTAATTGCAATGTGCTATATTTACTGGATGAGATAGTTTATAATGTCTGGATCATTTTATTTATTGCATTACAACTCTCACAACCCATCTAATCTGTCTGTCTGGTTTCTGTGATATCTGGGCATTTACTATATAATGGTATAATCAGCCTCGGACCTGTAAGTGTGAGTGCATATGAATTGTGAGATGGATCAACTGCCCACTTGCTTCATAATCTTTTTCCTGGCATTGACCTAAATATGATGAGTTTTAGTTTATTCCAACCCCCCAGAAGGTGATGAAGTTAATTTCAGGAGCAGTTTTATCAGCACAAATGAAGAGAGTGATGTATGCATGATGCCAGCGAAACTGTGTGTGGGAGAAAAGGAGGAGCAAAGATTTAGGGGACTGATTTGGAAGGTATTTAATATACTTGAGATGGGTGTTTGAAAAAACTAAGGACTATGAAACAGTCAATGATCTATTATGTGATAGTATAGGAAAGGCATTTTACATACCTCTTTCAATTTACTTTCTGTCTGCAAACCATTGCACAATAAATAACTACAATATGTTTGTACCAGATTTAAAATGGCATGTAATATTAATGCTATATAATCCAGTATGCAATTTAACATAATGAAATCTGCTTCCCATAGTGCATGTGGCTGCTCTTTTTCAGGGTGGCCCAGGCTTCCCAGGGATACAAGGAACAAAAGGTAAAAGAGGATTGCAAGGACAGCCAGGCCCTGTAGGAGACCCTGGGCTACCTGGAAGCAGAGGGGATTTTGGAAGACCAGGAACTCCAGGTATGTTTGGGTTCAGTGAAAGGGTGAGATTTTATATGCTTTCATCAAATAAAACTATCATCCAATTGAAAAGCTTGGAACAGGTTTTCAGAAAGTATAATTTGGCAAATCTCTATTGCCATTAAAGCAGCCATGCCAATTTGTCAGTAGAAGACCAGGTCTGATTTGGGTTCAAAGTAAGAGTAACAGTAGGTCTCACAAATGGTTGATTGTAGATCTAGTCCAGAACAGAATTCAGTGTAACTAAGCTTTTTCATCCCTCCCAAACTCTTTCATTGACAGGGCTACCTGGACATGCTGGAGAGTCTGGCGCTAAAGGATACAAAGGGAAACCAGGAGAGAGAGGCACTGGCGGCCTTCCAGGTGTGATTTGTATCCTCTCTCTCCCTTGTTTTCCAGTTCTCTGAATTCTGGTTTTTGTTTCTCCCACTTATATGAGACAGTTGAAATTTTTCCCTTCTTTTGGAGCATTTTGGAATGT